TTGCATTTCAGAAATGCAGCTCCCTAAAAAAGACACATCGATTCCTACGAAAAACGTTTTTTTTCTCGGTAAATACAGACAATAGAGAAATGTCAGAGTAGAGTGAATAAACTTCACTCGTCAATAACTCCATAATGGCAGAGTGAAATTCCCTGATTTTTTTTCACTCTCGATTAATTTTCCAAAGATTCAAATTGATACTTGAGTATCAATTGNATTCATTCCTCCGTTCCTAACTGAGATTAAGAAATGACACCGATGTCATTTATTAAAAATATAATTCTCAATCGATAAGCTTTGGTTTCATTACTTCATTTCAATTCGGGAGAGGAGAAATTAATTTTTGAATGAANTGAGATATAATCTCTCACAAATATTGAATATATTTCTTATCAAAATAATTCGAAATTCATTCATTACCTTTGTATCACAGACAAAATATGTAATAAATGTGAATAAGATGAATTGCTCGTATTTTTTTTTTTATTAAAGATCTAGTTATATAGAAATTCAAATAAATGATCCTCTTTCGCTCAAGACTTCATAATTCCTTATCTCCCTCTCCTTTATGATGAACTAATTTACAAATTAAGACAATAAGAAGTTGTATGAACGAAAATGGGATAATCAAGCGGATGAGTGAATGCAAAGGAGGTTTCATGTTGGATTTAAGATTGGGAACGCATCCCTGTTATCGACTGTTTCCATGGTAATAGATGAAAATTTCTTTACCCACAGAGCCGGCCTCTCGATTAGTTCATGCGCGCCACCGCTATGAAATTCTGATTGAACAGTTCCCATAAGCCTGAGCAATCTCCCCTATTATATCTATCAGAGATTATAGGGGAGATGAGCAGGGCCAATGTAAAGTGTTCAACAGCAAAATTCTCAGCGGTGGCGCATGGACTACGATGGAGCGTACGGAACAGTTGGTATGGTAGGGCCCGAGCATTAATTTGTCGATAACCGAAAAGGGGTTCTCAATACGGTAGCTCCTCGCATTTTGTAATAATTGTCAGGAATGTAAAATCGAACATATTATAATCAATAGTATAATGAATGCACAATCTAATGATCTAAAAGTCTTTTCCTTTTTCTCGACATATTTATTATTGACACGTAGGTCAAAAAATTCATAGGAAATCTCAGCGCTGTCGCTGGAAAACTCTATAGTTTTTCAGTGATTCTATTGAATAATTGTGCAGATTTTGTTTTTTCTTACTCTAGCAATGTTCGATTATATATATTTATTCCCCCCCTGACTGAGAAAGGAATATGTATCGCGCTCGCTCCCACTCATTGTCGTCTCCGTCGCGCTGTCACGTGCCCGTCCTCCACCAAAATTAACGAGTGCGNTAGCGGTGGCGCATGGACTACGATGGAGCGTACGGAACAGTTGGTATGGTAGGGCCCGAGCATTAATTTGTCGATAACCGGAAAGGGGTTCTCAATACGGTAGCTCCTCGCATTTTGTAATAATTGTCAGGAATGTAAAATCGAACATATTATAATCAATAGTATAATGAATGCACAATCTAATGATCTAAAAGTCTTTTCCTTTTTCTCGACATATTTATCATTGACACGTAGGTCAAAAAATTCATAGAAAATCCCAGCGCTGTCGCTGGAAAACTCTATAGTTTTTCAGTGATTCTATTGAATAATTGTGCAGATTTTGTTTTTTCTTACTCTAGCAATGTTCGATTATATATATTTATTCCCCCCCTGACTGAGAAAGGAATATGTATCGCGCTCGCTCCCACTCATTGTCGTCTCCGTCGCGTTGGCACGTACTCGTCCTCCGCCAGACTTAACGAGTGCGAGTGAGAAAGAAAATGGAGAAGGAGGAGAGAGAAAACATTCCAACTCGTTTCAACGGTTGGAACCTTTTCATTGTTCTCCAGCGATCTACATATGATGGGATTAATTCAATAATAATAGATTAATGAATAAGATTTTTCGCAGATTATTGCGAGATTTAGATGAATGGTTTGCCTCCTACAGTGACCACAAAAAATTGTCTCCCATCGACAATATCTCTCGATGGAATGGAACGATGTGAATGAATCAAGTATCAATTTGAATCTTTAAAAAATTAATCGAGAGTGAAAAAAAATCCGGGAATTCCACTCTGACATTTCTCTATTGTCTGTATTTACCGAGAAAAAAAAACGTTGTTCCTAGGAATCGATGTGTCTTTTTTAGGCAGCTGCATTTCTGAAATGCAATGAGCAAGCAATGTTAAAATTAAGTCATTTTGTAAAAAATTTCGAGTGACATGATCCTGAAAATCAAAGGAAAGTCTTGAATTCAGAAATGATGTCTGTAGGTTTCAGTAATATTTTCGCGGAAATTCCGGGAACACTTATTGGGAATTTTTATCTCGTTGCCGTAATAAGGAAATTTCAAGAAATTTCGTCATTGCAGATTAAAAATTTCTATGAATTTCAGTCCAGTTATATGTGTACGTCCATGTCAAAAGGGCCCATTTTATCGCATCTAATTTCCGAGATATTCACGTTTTTCTCTCCACTCCATTTATCCCATTGTTAAATTGATTTTTTGATCTTTTATACGGACGTCACCCGGAGAAATATAAATCGGTAAAAATCTTGCGATCGCAAGGAATTTCCCGAAGATCCGCATTTTTCATGCACGAAGAACAATGAAGCTTTTTGGAATCTTCGGGAAATTCTATCCTATCCTACTCAAGTAGGAACGGAGGAATGACTTTTCAAAAGCGCGGAGTAACTCCGAACGGTTCTCCGGCGTCGAGTGAGCGCGGAGGGGCACCCCGATTAGAAAATTCATTTCTCCCCTCCCCGCCCCTGCCCCCTAATTGCGAAGCGGGAATGAACGCAACATCTATCGATCCAGAATAATATTCTCAATAAATGACAGTGGTTTCATTCCCTTAGCCTCTATTAGGAGAGGAGGAATGAATTTTCATAACGCGCAGTAACTCCGAACAAGTTCTTCTGATTCAAAAATTAATTTCTCCCCTCCCTAATTGAGATGAAGCAATGAAACCAAAGTCTGCAGATTGAGAATAGCATTTTTAATAAATGACATCGGTTTCATTTCGTAATCTCAGTTAGGAGGGGAGGAATGAATTTTCAAATGCGCGGAGAAACCCCGAACGGCTCTCCGACGTCGAGTGAGCTCGGAGGAACTCCCCCGTTTGGAAAATTCATTTCTTCCACCCTAATTGAGATGAAGGATTGAAGCCGATGCCGATCGATCGAGAATTAAATTCTCAATAAATGACAACGATTTCATTCTTTAATCTAAAGTAGGAACGGAGGAATGAATTTTCGAACGCGGGGAGAAATCCCGAACGGTTCTCCGGCGTTGAGTGAGCGCGGAGGGGCACCCCGATTAGAAAATTCACTTCTCCCC